TAAAAAGTTTATCAAAATAGCTCAACCACCAATATTGAATATCTTCCTCTAAGAAAAGCATTTTTTTCGAGCTTTAATACACTTCACTTGAATTAAATCTTTACGTTTTTTCTCTCTTTGTATGACTAGTTTATATATATATATATATATATATATATCACCCTCCGCATCAAATATATTATAAAAATCACTAACAATATAATTTTTAGCGTCACAAATTATTGTCTTAGACTCCCTACAGGTCACCTTATTTTTTCTCTGTCTAAGCTTTAACATTTAAACTAATTTTTATAACACTTCTTGTATTTTATTTTATTTTTTCTTACACATTAGTATTACACCATTAACTATTTTTATTTATTAAAAACTTTTCTTTTAATTCTCTAAATTTATTTTTCATCATTTGTTTAATAATGTTTGTTAGATTATCCCACATAAACTTTACTCTTTATGAACATCTCAAATCTTGACGTTTTGAAGTTTAATTAAAAAAATAAATTTATTTGTCTTTTAGGTGCTCCCACTTAATTTTATTACCAAATTTCATTATATTCGTTATCTTACAACTCTTCATTTTAAAATTAAAAACTAATAATTGATGTTGAGTACTTAAATTTACACTTGCAATAAACTTACAAGCTTTACATTCTCAATGACCTCTTTTTTCTCATAAGAAAATAATCAATTGGTGTTTTATTATATTCATTCTTATAAGTAATAATATGTTTATCACTTTTCTTAAATAAAATATTAGCAATAACAAAATCACACACTAAAACAAATTCTAATATGATTCTACCTTCTTCATTAATCACTTCAAAATCGTAGCCACTGTGAATATTTCTAACATCTTCTATCACTACACATGTCCATTTAATTCTTTTCTAATAAAATTATTTTTTTCAAAAGGTATCATTTGGATTAATTCTTCTAGGTCATCCAAAAATTTTCTTTTGAACCTATATCTAAAGATGTATTGGGGTGGCGGTGTGGCGCCGCACCACAGTTTTTTCTGTTTGTCAAAACTACATTTTGTTTACATTCTAAAAAAGTGCACAACTGAAAGCTGTGTTTTCCAACTAAACCAAGCTGCCTGCGGTTGCCAGAAAGCTGTGGTCTAACTTTTTTTAAAAAAAAAGTAATAGCCACCACAACTTTTTGAACAGCAACTTCTATTTAAACAGTTGCAGCTACCCCAAACAGACCCTAAACCTACTTGAGGAGCATAAATATTTATAACATTAAAAATCTTCACATCAACAATAATCTCTAAAGGTATAATTATATCTGCAAATTTATTAATTTTTACAACATTATATTTCAAACACTTATCTACAATTACACTAACACCAATTCAAATGCGACTCCCACCAAAATGCCAAAATTTAACTTAAACTATCAATCTCCTTAGCATATTCTCCAACTCATTTAGTTTCTTGAATACATAAGATATTTATCTTCCTATGAATCATAATATCTACTAATTTCATTTATTTACTTGTGAAAGTATCTATTCCAATAATATATCTCAATATTAGTTTCATGCAATAACTTCGTTGCCCACATTCGTCTGTAATGTGGGAAATCTTGTTTATTTGACACTACACAAAAGCACGGGTATAAAGACCCTTGCACACTTTTCATTGTATTTAGGTCATACAAAGCATTGCTTCTAGAGGAATCCCTAGCATTTACATAAGATTTAAAGAATTCATGTCATTATTTTTTGACAAATTTTACGCTGGTTGCCGACTACCAAACGCAGCCCTTCACTTTTCACATATGAGGTTTGAGACCCAGCAATGACAGTGTAATCATTTATAATGACATGTTTTTTCAAAAATTCGAGGTTAAAAATTTGAAATACTTATAAATTTCGGAATGTGACATGGCACCTTTAAATTAAAAATCAATTATGTTATGACCACATCTAACTATACAAGTTTCACATCAGCACATAAATCAAAACATACACATTAACCAAAAGCGATCAAAGTTCAACAATAATATCAAAGAAATAACTCTTGTATTACAACGTTATAAGGTATTGCTAAAAATCGCCCCTCTCGAGAAACAAAAAAGGTTTAACATTTTAGAAACTAGGGTCAACTTCGACCTCATGAAAATCCTATTGTTGTCCATCAACTCTTCAAACCAAACTCATCACCTGCAAAGAACTGAGCTAACTGAGTTGACTCCATAAAATTATAACTTGCACCACTTGTGACATGAGTAACATAACTTCACGTAGAAAAGTTGCAATAGTCTTCCTTTAACTCTACTGGTTGTCTACAAAACTAACCCATCTATTTTTAGTGTCTACCATAATATGATGACCTCAGAAAAAAATTCCATTTTTTTTTTCCCAGTACTATGTTCGCTGCCACAAAAAGAGGATTCAACAACACAGTGAGGACCTTCTGAGGCAGCTTTATTTGGGCATTCGTAGGCATCTTCACGACTCTCAAGGAACTCGACGGGTTCCTCGCCTTAGACTTTCCCAATACCTGGGCAAGAAGAGTGCCACCCTCCTCAGTCTCAGCATAGCCTACTTCAACTAACTCGGAGAGCGAAAGGGTCCTTACCCATAGGAATGGGTTCCACCTTATGAGGTACTGCAACCTAGGATTCACTGGCTTCTCCCCTCTCCGCAGTGACATCTAAGCAAGTGACTTGATCAACAAATGATTCATCAACAAAAATATTACTCCTCATTAAGAGAGCTATTAAATGTTTTCATAGAACTTATTTTTTGCCATAAAATCAATCAGCGCAGATATATAATGCTTTAGCCTTCCATGCAAGTATAATTTTCCGCTGGAAGAGACATGCCACTCATATCCTTAAAGTCACTCAAGTCAAGGTTTGATAATGGGTAAGGATGACCTAGCAACGACATCGCAGGAGCACCAACATCCTTGATCTCCCGAATGCCACATTCTTTCTCTTCTTCCTATCAAAATACCCTCTTTCTCTTATCATATAGCTTGGCAGCCAGACAGCTATCAATGATATCAATCTTATCATCCGTGATTTCCATCACATAGATGATTGAACACCTTGCAAGGCAAAGCTTAGCAAAGAAATGAATTTGAATCTCCATCACTGCCACGAAACACGTGTTTATAAAAAGACATGAATAATTTAAAAAGAGGAGCTTCATCTCAGTCATTTGTCATAAGACAAATAATATTTAATTGCTTATCAAATAAATCTAATTTTCTCATTCTTTTAGCAACAAGCTTACAAAATGATAAAAGAATAGATAAACTAAACATGTACATGCAAGAAACCCGACACAAACTTGACGCAAAACCTAGGGAACAAAACCTTTGAAGCGAGTTCAAGTTGAATTCACTCAAGTGACAAATTATGCAGACTTGGTACAGCTCATCCAGAACAATTTTAACTTGCCACTCTGACAAAGGATCAAAGAGCTCACACAATGACTAACTCAAACAAGACGAGCTACCGAGTTAATCTCTTCCTATCCGCAACTCGCCCCGGAGTCCAGTATTCCTTATAAGCTACAAGAAATTGTATAGCCCCATTATGGGGATCGGTATGAACCTATGTACAAGTGACATGACCCAGTCAGCCAATAACCTAGTAAAATGGTCAATGTACACCACTTTGTACTTTCGTGTATTTTTTATCATATCTTTGTTAGATCTTATACTAAAGTCAATGACACCCGTAGAACTATAAATGGGGAGAAAAAAGCTTACAGAGAACAATTCGGATGATCTTCAATCTAGATACCCCCTTCTTCTACAATTCTCCAATCAAATCTTTTTCTTCTAGAGTGTTCCAGTTGGATGGAGTGCATGAGAACAATTCGGGATCCAACAAAGGGCATAACGGAAAACCAAAGAGAAGAGAAGGTGTTTGAATCACTACAAGAGAACTTGCTATCAAACTAGAAAGAATAAACAAAAAAAAAAAGAACAATGCATGGGTAGGATCAAGAATTGGTAGAGTGAAGGTTTGAATACTTCAAAATTATGTGCTTGTTTATCAATATCATAGAATAGCAATTTCCCAACAATTTCCTTCCATGTCTATCTTGTAATCTTGCCTGTCATGTAGATTTTAAATTTTTTACAATTCAATAAAAAAAATTACACTTTTTTCTGCACTTTAATTCAAGGTTGGAATTTATTAATAGTTTTTGCAATTTTGCTTGATCAATTGCTGAAGAATAAAGAAGCTAAAATCAGCAAAATAGACTAGCTATCGTTTACATGAACCAGGGCAAATAGCGGCATGAGTGTATGTAGTATATATTCTGGTATTACTTCAAAATGACTTGCATAAATCTTTCTATACGAAGTTAATAATCTCTATTTTTTTGCATTGAATTTCTAATTATATATTAAATAATAAACTAACTAATAACCATGTAAAATAGCACCACAATATATTGGAAAGAAAAAAGATCCTGCCAGAATATTCTGATAAAGACTTAGATCAAGATGGAATTGGAAATGCTTAGAGATACATGCGGTAAATATTTAATAATATTGCACTCATCTCAAAGCAGATAGATCTAAAGGCTTTGAAGCACATCCAGACTAATTTTTTATAATGCTATCCTAATACAAATTTTTCTTAACCTTAGGGTCATTCAATAAAATTTTGCTGAGAAATGTTTCATGAATAAATGAGTCAAACTCAAACTAGATGGGTAGAAGCTTTCTTAGATTAACTGAATATAAATAAAACTACCGAAAAAGCGTCCAATTAAGGTACTAATTCATATCAAATCCAATATAAAATCTCTATTTTGATGTATGGATGATATGTATTACTTTTTCTTTTTATAAAAGTGGTTATTGTTGCAGTTTGTGCAGTAGTTCTGTGTTGATCAATGGAATTCAACACCGGCTTATTAATTTACTCGGTGAAAGCTTTTTATCCATTATATATTCTGAGGAAGCAAATTACAAAAAAAGAAAAAAAAAAAAAAGAGTGAGGTCCTCTGTTCCTTATTTCAGGACTAATTATTTTTTTCTTAGAAGAATGGTTCAAGCGACTTCTGAAATTATTGATATTTTCTAATAGAAAATCAAGTTCCCATGAGGTCTTTACATGAACTAGTCACTTGAGATATGATCATGAAAACAGAAACAGATCTTGGACTTCATTAAAAATATTTTAACGGTTTAAGATTCAAACCAGAGCCTGTGCCTTCTACGATTTCCATGAGACTTTCTCTTCTTGTTAGAAACAGCAGGGTTCTCTAACTCTTCTTCATGGGGATGTGGCATCAGCGCCAACTCTCCAACCTTAGGATCATCTGCCCCTATTTCTAGGAAACTCTGATCGTAGCCATCTTCAGACTCATCAGAAGCTGCCGATGGCAGTCCATGGTCATGCTCATGTCGTTCAGGAGTTAACAATGGAGGCCCTTCAATAGATTGCTTCTGAACAAGCTCTGTCTGCTCAAGAGGCATAAATGATGGCGCTTCTCCTAGACACGGTTGCCCCTGATCACGCTCAAAAAACTCAGGAGCCAAAAAAGGCACCACCTTTCCTGGCTCGGGGATAAAAAATGAAGGCCTTTCTTTTGGGGATGAATGATCCTGGTTGAGCTCCATTTGCTCCATTTGTTCGGGAGCCACAAGTGGCAGAACTTCTCCTTGGTCGTGACATTGTTCAAAAAGTTCAGAAGCCCCAGAAGACTGCACTTTTCCTGACTCGGTGGTAAAAAAGTTCTGCCTTTCTCCCAGCGTCGATTGAACCTGGACAAGCTCAGTTTGCTCTGGAGGCATAAATGGCAGTGCTTCTACTTGCATCAATTGGCCCCGGTCATGCTCAAAAAACTCAGGAGCTGCAAAAGACAGCAATATTCCCTGCTCTTGATTCAACAATGGCAGTTTTTCTCCCAGAAATGATTGATCCTGGTTGACCTCTGTCTGCTCTGGAGCCACAAATGGCTGTTCATTCCCTTGCAGTGGTTGCTCCTCAGCATGCTCAAAATGCTCAGGAACCAAAGAAGAGGGCATTGCTCCCTGCTCAAGAATCGACAATGGCGGCTCTTCACCCAAATATTGTTCCTTGACAGCATCAGACAGCTCCGGAGGCACAATTAACTGCCCTTGTACCAACATACCAAGGCCAAGCTTGACATGTACAGGATCCTCCAAAACGATACAATCAGAATCTCCATTCTTAATATTATCAAAAGATGCCGAGTTTCCCGACTGGCAATTCAACTCCTCGTTATTGTTGACCAGGAAGCTATCCTGCCTCCTCTTGAAACCGTTTGATTTAGGAGTTCGAAGACCCAACCTCTGCGAAGCTGTGTGATCCTTGGAAGTACCACGCTGAATCCGCGACCTTCCCCGCCCTCGTCGCAGCGGCCGTGTTCCCTCCTCTGGATGGAGCGGTGGCGCATCCTCGACGAGGATCTTGCGAGGTCTACCACGGCGGCGCAAAGGCTGTGAACTACCCCTGTGGCTAGGTAGAGCGGAAGAGGGACGACTAAATCTAGGGTTAGGGTTTAACGGGTGGAGCCGAGGACGGCCTCGGCCTCGGCGGCGTATTGGTAAAGAAACGGAGGGAGGAGGGTCAAGGGAGAGTTGATAGCGGTCCGGGCAAGGAGACATTAGCTCGCCGTCGACAACGAGCTTGCTGAGGTAGTAAGGGAGGAGCCGGTCGTGGCCCCATGGGAGGTCATTGAAGTTTGATTTGATGTAGGAGGAGATCGATGACTCGGCCGAGCCATTCTCCTCGGCGAGAGCTCGTAGAGCGACGCTCACCATCTGATTGATTTGCAGCGCGAGATTGAAACCTTATCAGAAGAAATCAAGAATGATAGATAGAAAGCACAAGGAATAGGTTCGAGAGAGATAAAAGGAGAAACCTCGGCATAGGGAGGATGGTCCGGAGTGCGACCTTTAGGGTTTGGGAAAACATCATCGCCGGCACCACCGCCGGCGCCGCCGCCACGGCCGCTGCTGCAATTGAGGATGGCCCTAGAAAAAAGCTTCATGCGAGGAGATTCTCCGGTTTCCCTCGCTTAGGAGACCAGGAGCGATATAAATGTCGAAGAAAAAAATTAGGGCATTTAGATACATGCCGCCCATTTCAGATTTCTTGTGTATTTACTATTTAAATATCTAAATGCTAAATTTTAATTTTTATTTATATGAACTAAATTTTTTATATCATGCCAAATATATAACTATTTTATTTTTTTTAGAACTTAGAAAAATATATACATTTATATTAATTAATTCAATATATTTATAAATTTATTATTTAAATTTGAATCTTTAGAGGTATGTGACCTCACTCTTTAGTCTTGTTGGTGGGCTCTTCTTTTGACACGTTTTGTCTTAGGGTCGTTTTGGGACAGATGTAGCTTATTGACAATCTGCTGATAAGCAGCTGATTTGGATAAGGTGCTGATTAGCAGCTGATCCGGATAAGCTGGTTGATTGTTTGGTTTCAGCTGATGGAAAACAGCTGATTTGCTGTTGTTTCTAGAAAAATAACAATTTTACCCATGTACATCAACAATTAAATATTTATAAAATCGATTAGCCATTCATAATGATTTTATGAAATTGATTATATTAACTTATAGCTTAATATTAATTAATTAACTATTGATTATATATTAATTAATAATCACTAGAATTTTATAAATTAATTAAAATCAATATATAATTTAAATTTTTTTATTAATTAATCATTGTACAGTTATATATTGATTTATCTAATTATAATTAATTTTGATAACAATATTTATTTAATTAATTCGTACTAATCAGTTAAATTAATATAAAAATAAAGTTAAAATAAGGTTAAATTAAAGTTAAAATAAACTTAAAATAATGTTAAATTAAAATTTAAACAATATTTATTTAATTAATTCTCCTTTTCCTCTCTTTTCTCCTCCGTGAAACCCTTGTCTGCGCCTCCCCCTTCACCTTCGTGACCGAACCCTTGCAATGTCGGAGGAGCAGGCCGGCATGAGGTACGGCGAGTGGACTGCTTCGTGGAAGAAGCAACGACAGTGAGTTGGCATCGGCTAAAGCGGAGGAGCATGGGATCGTGAGTGAAGTGTTCGTTGAGCATGGGGTCGCCAGTGAAGTGGAGAGACGAATGAGAAAGGAGCGGGGTGGTTCTTTGAGCAAGCGAGGGCAGGGCCGTAAAATAAGGGAGCGAACGTCGACCGTGGGTATCCCCCCACGTTCAGCTTCTTATTAAAACATAAAACACAGTTTTCAGATAATCACCTGAAACGTGCGAAACAAACAATGAGGCGGCGGTTTCAAACAAACGCCGCCCGCACTTATAAGCTGCCCCAAATGGGCCCTTATTTATGTCTTTAGATTTTTTTGAGATTCATGCTAAAACTTTTTCTGTATACAAAATTCTATATTTCTGAGGATTTATATGATTTATAGATATTTATAGGTGAAAATTATATTTGAAAATAATAATTCTATTTTCAATCAATTAAATTTAGTAAGAGGAAACTTTCTTATTTTTAATAATTTAAATATATTTTAAAAATTATTCTAAGTATATATGTGGCCAGACACTTTCAACTATTATTATTACTGTTTAAAAAGTGACTTGTGATTGTTTTATTACAAAATTATAACCATTTGATTTTTAAAAATAGTTGAAAACATCAATATGTAAGAATTTCAATGGTTATGAGTAAGGATGTCAAAATAGCTCGTTGTTTACAAATAGTTCGTGTTTTGCTCGTTAAAAAATTCGTGTTCGATTTGTTCGCTAAGTTAACGAGCCGAACGTGAATAATTTTTTTGTGCTCGATATATAAACGAACCGAACACAAACATTGATTTGTTCATTTGTGTTCGGCTCATTTTGACTCGAAATAATTATATATATATATATA